GACAAGACCATGCTTCAGTGGAGCTGCAGGTGAATCTGAATGTGGAGAAAGTAAAGAGGGGTCGTTGGAGGTTTAATACTACGTTACTGCAAAACAAATCATTTAGTGATGAGATCTCAGAAGATCTCAAAATATTCTTTAAAATTAATATGGGCTCAACAGACAAAGTTGCCTCAGTATGGGAAGCATCCAAAGCATATTTAAGGGGCAAGATGATTGCACAAGCCACAAAAATTAAAAAGGAAAACTTAGAAAAAGAAAAGAAATTGGAAAAGGAAATACACAAATTGGAGAAAGATCTGGCAAAGCGATTTTTGAATGATAAATATCAGATACTCTGTAAAATGAAATTCCAACTTCAGGATATTTATAATAGGAGAGCTGAATATGCATTATTTCGATTAAGGACCACATTTTATGAGGGAGGGGAAAAAAGTGGGAAATTATTGGCAAGACAATTAAAGCAGCAGGAGAGTCTTACTAATATATCAATGATAAAAAAGGATATCCAAGTGATAACGTCATCTAAAGGAATAAATGAGGTTTTCAAATCGTCTTATCAAGATCATCTGGCATGATGAATGAAACTGACATTGATACATTTTTCTCAGGTCTCAAGTTACCAATACTTACTACAGATCAGAAAGAGAGGTTGGATCCTCCTATAACAGAAGGGGAAATTAGGGCAGCAATATCATCAATGAAAAATGGAAAGTCACCAGGCATGGATGGCTTTCCCATTGAGTATTATAAAAAGTATGTTGATATTTTGAGCCCAATTTTACACAAGGTTTATCTGGAGGCATATAATATAGGGTCATTACCGAGTTTATTTAATGAAGCACTAATATCTTTAATTCCTAAAAAAGAGAGAGACATCTCTGACCCAACAAATTACCGACCTGTCAGTCTTTTGGGAGTAGATTGTAAAATTTTGACTAAAATATTGGCTTCACGACTAGAAAAAATACTACCCTCGATCATTCATGGAGACCAGGTTGGTTTCATTAAGAACATATGTTCTGGAGATAACATGAGACACAAAATGATGCAAAAAAAGACCAAGGATAAACAAAAAAAAATGTGGGCCTCAAGAGAAATTAGTGGATTGGCTCTTCCAAATATGAGACTTTATAATTTGGCATTTGAAATGTCGAGGTTGGTGAAACACTGGGTAAAGGTGGATACGAACCTAGGTTGGATCAAGATTGAGCGGGAGTTAGTGAAGCCTTTCGCACCGATTGATGTTTTATCCCAGGGAACTAATACTAAAGGTTTGGACCTACATGACAACCCGGTACTCATCTACTCAAAGCATGTCTGGAGGGAGGTGCATAAATGGTGTGGGGTGTCTCATTTGAGACAACCGTATGCCTCCTTGTGGCACAATTCCATAATACGGATAGGTAAAAGAACTGTGTATTGGAGGGAATGGATTGAGAAAGGAATTCATACATTTGACAATCTTTATGAGGACGGGGAGATTATGTCCTTTGAAGAAATCATTCAGACATACGGTTTGGAAAGGAGAGGGAACTTTTGGAAGTATTTGCAATTAAGAGACTGCATCACCAAAGTAAAATTGATTCAGGAAACAAATACAGTAAGGGAATATTGTGAAGTACCTGGTGGAACACATAGAGCATCTTTGTTTTATAAAACGTTCAATAATTTAAAAAAGGGTATATGTGACAGTTTGAGAGTTATTTGACAAAGGGACCTGGGTTGTGACATAGATGAGGAAATATGGGGCAAGATACTTTTAAACTCTGGGAAAGGTATAAAGGAGGCTAGAGGGAAATTTACCCAGTATAAACTTATACATCGATGGTATTATACCCCCTCTAAACTCAAAAGAATGGGGCTCACGATGAATGACAATTGCTGGAAATGCCATTTGGCCTCTGGAACCTTTATGCATGCTATTTGGGAATGTGGGGAAGTTTATCCCTTTTGGGAGAGAGTACTAGAATGTATAGAAAGGTGGATTGGTAAAACTATACCCAGGTCACCAAGATTATGTTTACTTGGGTATAAGTCAGTAATGCCAGGGGTAACAAAATGTGAGTATGTGGTTTTAAAAGGTGGTAATAACTGCAGGGTCATTCTTGGTGTATGGAAAAAATCCTTTAAACTTTATGGATGGACAATTTGATGAAAACATATGTCTCAAAAATGAAAATTATTGGCTAAGTTGAATGATAACATATTATTGGACATATTTGTAAAATAAAATCTTGTACCTGTACCTTGTTTTGATTGAAATGCCTGTGACAGGTTTGTGATTGCTCCATTGACTAAACTCATTTGAAACCCAGCAGTACATTAGGAAAAAAAAATTTTTTTTTTGGCCTTTATGGATGTGTATATGATTTGGCCTTTTAAATTTAGAATTGAAACTAATTGTACTTGTAAACAGGTTAAACTGAGTGAAAATTAGAGATGTTCAGTTTTGTCACATTGCAATGCACTTTGGAATTTTGTTTGTTTTGTTTTTTGCTCTGGAGTGCACTGCATGTGCATGTGCATATGTACAGATGGATTTGTGGTTTTGCTTTGCCTCGGCCCAAGGTGGTGTGCTGCTGTCTGTTCTGTTATATATTGTGTTGTAAAATGTAATAAGAATTGTAAAATAAAAAAAAAATCTAATTAAAACAACAAATCAAATAAAAAATCTACTTACAATTTCCCAATCATTTATGATAAATTTTGACCGTAATATTTTGTTTGTAAGCAATTTTTTTTTGGAATTGGAAACATCTCTCAGAATAAAACTGACTAAAATGCAAATGCCAGCAGAGAAAAGGAGGTTGGGCCTCCCTAAACTAATTCTAATTCTTTGCTTCTGTCTGATGCACTTTGCTCCAATGGAACACATTGCTCCAATGGGGAATGCCACTGAACTCAAATTGCAATCCAAAACTGGATCTCTTCTCAATAATAGAAGCTTCTATTGCAATTAAGAAAACTTCTCAGATCTAGTCTTAAATAAAGTCCAAATTATTAGGCAAATCTCCATTTTAGCAAAATTATTGAATAAAAATTCTTAAAAAATTTAAATGTACATCTTAATTTGAATCTTGTGTTTGGAACAATTCAAAGCTTTTAAATAGATAAACAGTGTGTTGTGTGTGTGAAGGACTGGCTTACCAGGGAATTGTTAAACTTGCAGACTTGTATGAGGGAGATGCATTGAAATCATTTGAAAAACTGACACTTGAATATAATCTGCTAAAAAAATATTTATGGAAGTATCTGTAACTTCTAAGTCTACTTAATGCAGTTGTTGGAAGGCACTCTTCCCCTCAACAGTCAACTCTTCTATCACAAATAAAAAAAAAAAATGGGATTGGGACATGAGGCATCTTTTTTATTACAGTCATATTTTTATTCAAATAATAAATTTTCAACAATAATGTTCTACACTTTTAAAAAAACAATCTGGTCATCAGATCTTAAAATATTAATCTGACAATGATTGGATTAATGTAATGTGAAAAATATGATTGAAGCTGTAAAAACGTGAAAAATCACAAGATAATTAATTTTTAAAATCCTGAATTTAATTTTAAAGTTTAATCTGAATTTTAAAATCCTGGAATTTCTCCATCACGGTTATTTAGACTCAAGCTTTAAAAGACTCAGAAAACTGCTGGAAATGCCAAGCCAAAGGAACTCTGAAGCACCTCCTCTGGGAATGTCCTTTGATACAAAACTATTGGCGGAAGATTCTTGGGTGTATAAAAAATATCACTCAAAACACTTTTGAATTCACCCCTCAGCTTTACATTTTGAGTGATCCAAAAATGACCACTAGATGTCCATCATCAGAGTTTATTCAAACTAGTATTATGATTGGAAAACAAATAATAATGAGACATTGGAAGGACTCTGGTTCATACTAAACTGGCTAAAGTAGCCTCTTACGAACAGATGTCATTTAATATGTCAGATCGAATTTTAGCCCACAAAAACAAATGGAAAGCCTACTTGAATTATGTTAGAGAAAATTTAACTGTATGAAGTGAGGATTAACTGTAATGCAAAATGTAAAGGATTTCAGTAGTTTTCTGTCTAGGGAAAAAAAAAAAAAAAAACCTAGTGTGTATGTATGTGTATGTATTTGTATATATATGTGTATATTGGTGTATGTGTACATATGTATATATGTGTATATGTATATATACATATATAAAATGTGGTGTATGAATGTATGGTGTATATATTGTATGTATGCGTATTTTGTGTGTGTGTGTGTATATATATAGATGTTGTATGTATTATATACATATTTATTTATTTTATTATTATTTAGTTATTTAGTAAATTTTTTTGCTAATTTTTTTAGTTTTTTTTAATTTACTTTCTACATTTATATTGAGTTTATGTGTGGGGGAAAAAAATAATAGGGCATGTATATTGTGATTTATTTGGACAAAAAAGCACTGAATAAATTGCAAATAAATAAAAAAAAATAATTGTTTATTCTATCTATTTAAGTTTGTGATTTTGCAGTTGTTTCTTAGGTGTGCAGAAGTGAAAAAAGTTATACAATAACTTATTAATTCTATTTATTTGTTTGTGTATTTAGTTATTTCTTCATAAGGTTGTGTTTGCAGACTAAAGTAAATATATACTGTATATAGATTTATACAGTGTACAATACTTACAGTTACTCTGTTTGTGTTTTTTTTACATTTTTTATTGTGTATGTTCTTGCAGTGAGCCTAAAGTAAAAAATAAGTTATATGGTGTTCAAAACTTATTGTGAAATATTTTTGTATTTGTCTGTGTTTGCAATGTCAGTAAAGTACTTATGTATTTATTGATGCAATGTGCATTACCATATGTTTTATTTGATTGTACTTTCATGATAACGTTTAGCGTTTGTTTGACAATAAATTGGCACCATATTGAAAAAGTCAACCTACTGTATCGTTGCTGATGTTATGGTCCAGACTGTGCTTTGTTAATGGCATTTTGAAAGGAGTATATATTACATTTTGAAAGGAGACACACAGGCTGTAGTCCTGGATGGTCCACCGTGAATGTGGATTGGCTGGGGACTTCTTCCATTCTTGCAATCACCTACCAAATATATTACCAGTAACATGAGTGTGCATAATATACAGCAACTGAAAACAAGTTTTTGTAACGCAAACGCACCTTGGGGACTTCTTAACAGTATCTGTTTTCCGCCTGATGACACAAAATAAATAAAATGAACTACAGCAATTGCACACTTTATCATGTGTAAACATTCAGTGAGGTGTGAACTTGTAAACAAACGACGTATACAAACGTGGTTTATGGCGGAGTTTTACAGTTTTATGTTTCACTTTTAGACATATTTGATTAAACAGTATAATATAACCAAGCAAACTATATTATTGCAATTTATTTTTCACAGAAGACAATGGCTTGAAAACGTAAGAACAAACTTCGCTGATGATTTCATTTGTAATAACACGCATTATCCATACATCGTTTATTGATGCTCTAGCCTATATAATAACACTGAGCGATATTTTAAAACTAAACCATTTAGTTCGAGCTGGTTAGAAATGCACCTTTGTTAGTATAGAAGTAGTATATTGTGACGGAGCCAGTCCGTCTATGAATTTAGGTGGTGTCCCTCCCCTACACGTAACCGCAGCCTGCACTGACGTGCCCGCGCACACACACGCTGATTCATCCCGCACACACGAGTTCACTCCCCGTTTCCTCGCTGTTTCATTCATCCGCACCGTATTCACCATTTATGCCTTTTCCTCTCTTTCCTCTGTTACTAATTCGCCAACGGTGCACACTTGAGCACGTTAGAAAACTTTATTTCATACATTCCAGCTCCTACCTGTCCGATGACGCCGTCTCTCTCTCCTCTGACACGGCGCGCTTCTGCCAAACCGAGCCTCTATTTCCTGTTAGTTGAAATAGGCGCTGTTCGCGCCGTGGTGCTGACCATGTGACGCGCGTTATGTAATATCATTTTCTACACGTTATTAATGTATTATTTTTGACATTAAATGTACATTATTACTGTGTGCTCAATGTAGAATAGACAAGGTAGATGTACTGTTGACACATTTAATACCTTGTTTGCGATAAAGTTGATTGCCGCCGTCCAGTGGACGCCTTTGGTTTTAAGTTTGGTTTTTCTACCGCATGTGCTCACTTTCAAGCGTGATCGGTTCGCGGTGCAGTCTGACAGAATACGTCTCTGTTTTCGGCCTAGGGGCATCTTTGTCCGTAAGTTCAGCTTGTTTTGTGTTGTAATATTGTTTTCTTGTATTGCTATACATATCTCAAAGTCGGAACATTAGTTTGACACATTCTCGGTGTTGCCTATTGCTAGTTTCTGTTGCTAGCTCCGTCCTGTGTTTGGGCTGGGTAGTGAGGCTTTTATTTTGTTATAACATGTACAATTTGTTAATACACATTTTTTATGTGTTTTGTTGCAGTTTTACAATGAAAAAAGAAAAAAGATAAAGAGACAAATGTGGGAATAAACGTCAGTAAAGACAAGTCTTCTCCATATGGTTGTGTGGACTCTCTTTTTTTGTATTTTCGCTATCTGTCTAGCCTTGGTAGCGACGCCATCGCGAGGACAGAATAGTAGATTTAGGCCCCGTTTACACGTACACGGGTATTTTTAAAAACGGAGACATTTCCCTTCGTTTGTACACATCGTTTACACGCAAACGGCGAATTCGCCTCTGAAAATGAATCTTTCTAAAAACTCCGGCTAGAATGGAGATTTTCGAAAACTCCGGTTTTCCGGTGTAAACTGAGATAAACGGAGTTTTAGGGACCGACGTTTACCTGTTGCTATGACGATGATGATAATAATAACATTGGGAAAGAGGCTAAAACCTGCCTAAAACCACGAAATAACTGTAGAAATTTAATTAAAGTGAAGGATTTGTTGAAATTCAAAAATAAAAACAAAAGTACAGTATGTGTTTTTGTTTTGATGTCAGTTCAAACTGGGGGGGGGGGGGGGGGGTCTACAGGTCTGTGTATAGAGTATACAGCAAGGTCAAAAGTTCAAGTTAATGCATCTGATATAAAAATGTATTCAACAGGTAGCATACGTACTCCAGTTTATGAAACTGTTGACCTTTTTTCTGTACCATTTTTGGTTCTAAAGTTACATATGTTTTAAACATACCGTGTATGCAACATGGAACAAAAAATATTTACCAAATTTTAAAGACCTGCAAATCATGTAAATAAATGGATGTATTTCATCATATCTTGTGTTATTTGATCTTTGAACTGTTGATGAAGGTACATGATTTAAAAAAAAAAAAAAAAAAAAAATGTATTTAAAATGATACAAATTTGCTTGGAAGGACTGACATATTTTATAGAAATAGTTATCTTTCATTTTGAAGTAATATTAAAGTATTCGGAAGAAAAAAAGCGACAAATTATGCAAAATCATGCACCTTCTACTTCCTTGCACAATTTTCCCTCCGTTACCATGACCTTTCTTAATAAAAAATCTCATTACTCAAAAAGTAAGAGGTTTTTCAACCTAATCTTGTACCATATCGTAGAAAACTATATGAAGCAAATATTCAAACCAGTTTGTTAAGGATATGTAAGTAAGAACCACTAGTTATCACTGTTTGTATTTATTGCCCAAAAAGTGCTGCATATTTCATTCCCTCCATTACCGACATGAGTTTTTACAACTTGAAAGAATATTGCAGGGTTAACTTTACCCTATTGGAGTGTTAACTCTTTCCTACATTCTGATACCTTACTTATTTCAATAGTCCCTCTAGTTTCTAAATAAGAGCTATTTGAATGTTAACAATCTGCCCCTGTTTCCCTCCATTACCGCTTGACCGGACTCCATGGAGACACATTAGCAAGAAATGTTAATCAAAAAATGTTAAGATAGTGTAATAGTGATAGTGTTTTTCTGTCCCTGGCCCTCTCTACCTTATATTTTGGCCACTGATGAAACTTCGCGCACGTATCGTGAGACTAAGTGTGTCAAGCTCTTTAAACATGGCCGCACGCGCTACCATTTAGGAGAGGGATCTGGCTGCAGACCCTCTTGCCATTTAGTGTTGTGTCGGTCCGGGGTGTGACTGAGCTGCTGCATGTAGGCGATGATCGCTGTTAAAACTCACAATTTTCGCTCTAAATGTATGTCAAAGTAACTGTTATGCCATCAACTTCTCTAGATGCCTCTTGCCTTCATAACGAAGTGCTGTCGGGATTCTATGAGATTTAACTAAGAGGAAATGGGGAGTGTTAACGTTTGTTTGTTGTTGTTCGGAGCTAATGCTAATGCTAATGCAAATGCTAGCGGTCCGATTCAATACACTCAATACGGACCTGCGAGCTGGTGCTGGCGCTAGCCTCATTCGTTCGCATTCATTTATATGACCGCTTTAAAAGGCGATATATATATTTTGACTAATGCAATTTATTCAGTTTTTGAGCTAATATTGACAACAAATTATGATTGATATCATCCTGCTAAATTCTTGATCTAAATAATTTAAAATGACTTAATCTTAATTGTTGGAAATATGTTACTATGGAGTACTCTAGATATTGACCAATATTTGTACATGTACATGGATGGATGATTATGATTTAGATTTATTGTAACAAATTGTTATGATATTGTAGAAATGTTTTATAGTGACTTAGTTGTACATCATAATTGTATTACTCACTGCTGGTCCTGTTTTGCACAGGCCAGGTTCCTGAAACTGGACCCTCCAGAAACTGGACTCTCAGACACTGGATGGCGAGCTAAGGCCTAGAGCCTGAACCAAACTCAGAGTGCAAGCATCTGCTGCAGGTAGGAGGCGTAGCAGCTGCTCAACCCCACACACACACTCGCCCACCCGCTGCCTCCTGCTGTGGGCACTGGGTCCTCATTGACTTTGCTCAAAATCACCCACCTTATTATAACAATCTCCAGAACTCTCTTTTGTGCTTTTTTACATGACCCTGTGTGGATAACTTTTGTTGCTGTTCAACTGTACTCGGACTAAGGACTAAAACGCATTGAATCCATCGATCATAATCTGTTGTACACTGTAAATAATACATCACAATACAATCCTGTGTAGTTGTCTTATTAAACACCTCACTTCCCTCCGAGCCAAACCCTGGTCTTCTGATCTAGCCTATTGCTACTACCACTACTATATTTCATATCTGTACTAATCCTCCATTGTGGCATTGTATAAGTAGTGATGGGCAGATGAAGCTTCATGAAGCATTGAAGCCTTTCATCCAATTGGTTCACTCTGGTGCAAAGCTTCCTGAAGCTTCATTTGCTCTAGTAGGACATCTACTGGATGCAAAAAATATCAGTTGACATGAATTTGAAGTGTGTTGCATTTTGCAGAAAGCCTGTGAATAAAACTGTCAGCAAAGTAAAGAAGTATGCAAAACATGTATATTGTAGTGATGTATACTGTGTGTGTATATATATATAAATATATATAAATATAAATACTTTTACAATATATATATACTGGCAGTATGGAAAATTATTATTTGGAAATTATGAAAAAGCTAATGATCATTTACAGTGACGTGAGGGTGGTTGGGGTTGGAGTATGGACAGTGATTGTGCTTTTGTAACGTTGGGTGATTATGGTTCAGGGGACACATCATTGGTTTTTATTTAAAAACAACAGTTTTTCCACTGTGGCAGGTCTCAGGCGATTTCTTTTTTTTGACAATATTTCTCCTGCTTTCGAAAACACCTGCTCACAGGGCACAGATGAGGCAGGCGTACACAAGAATGCCACTGCTAATTTATATAAATGGGGATTGACATATTTCTGTCTCTCCCAGTATTGAAGGGGGTCCTCCAGCCTTCCTATATTTGGCTCCATCATGTACCGTTGGACCTCAATATTTGCGTCTGCTATTACATTTTGTGTTTGTGTCTGCCTGACTCTGTCATCCAGGCGACACCACAGGTTGTTACCTAAGAAATAAGAATTGTTTTTTTGTGAGTTTAAACTGTCTCCAAACTTCCAAACTCTCACTGATCGCAACTCTCCATCAAACACCCACATTTTGAATGAAGACGGAGCAGTTTATATCGCTGTCAAAACTCGCGGCAAAACCCGAACCACTTCCTGAATCAGTCACGTGGTACAGCCAGGCAGCGAGGCTTCGGACGTCATCATTTTCAGCTCCTCCCCTAAATGAATCAAGCCTCGATAAGCGCTTCGCGGAAACGCCCCCTCCCTACTCGGCACACGCTTCGAAGCCTCGACAGGGAACGTCACATCACTATGTATAAGTGCTACAATAGTCTTTTTTTCATTTTGCACGATATAAAACATTTTTTCCAATGGCTTTTGTTTTTCTTTTTTACCATTGATGTGGCTGGAAAAAACAAACGAACAAAACCAAAACAAAACAAAAAAAGAGTAAGTGTTTTTCCATTATATTCATGTATATACCAAACTTCATTGCTGGTGATTCAATGGAATTCCCGCCAGTGAATCAACTGCCTTGAGGTCCGAACACATTAGAAAAGGTCTGAACATGTCCGAACGCAGGTCCGAACGAGGTCCGAACGAGGTCCGAACACGTTCCGAATGAGATCAAAGGGTTTCGGACAAGGTTCCGACAAGGTCCGAACAGGACCTAACACTAGGTCACTTGAGTCACGTAGGCAAGGGGGCGGGGTTGTCGTGGTACAGATTACAGTAGTGGCCATTTTACACATTTTCCAAAAGTTAGCCAAAGCTGTAAGTTTGGAAATTTGCTTAGTACTCAGAATACCATATGTAAGCTATATTATTACTAACTTAGCTTCTGGCGGTACATACTGCCATTGTGTACAGATGTACACCCTACATAGGGGGTGCAAGGATGACCCAATGTAGGGGGCTGTGGAGTTAAAGAGGTTACATGAGGTCAACCTATTCACACCGCTACGCTACACAATGCACACATGGCTAATTCATATGTTAATTTATTCATGTGTAGTGACTAGTTAATTAATTAATCTAATTAATCTCATTTTAATCTCACCTAAAAATTGCTGAGAAAAGCCTTTAATTTGAGGTATTTTTATTTAAATTCATTATTACATTATTGTGGCAGATCAAAAGACTGATATAGAACAAAAAAAGTGACTTTATAAAGTCATTTATTGTTTAACAAATCTCTTCAAATTGGCTGTTA